ATACTGCGTCATCTGAGGGAAGTACGTCTAATCGAGCTTATTTTCCTCGACTAAGAAATCAAAAATTCCCATCATGTTCCTAGTATCCAAAATACGAAAACAACTCGTGGCATCAAGTGGACTTTGGTAAAGTCACAGTCGTAACAAGTGTAGAAACACAAGGATGTTGTTGCGACGATTTTTGGATAACGTTTTACTCGATTTCATACAGCAATGATAGCAGAACATGGTCATCTTATTTAAGAATTGGAGCAACAAAGGTATAAGCTTGTATTTTTTAAGTTCACTCAGCACGCAGACCCATTTAGTGACGCTTTAAAATCACCAATTTTCTGATTTCTTCATTTTGAAATATTTTTGCGAATTCTTGCCACCAAAGAAGAAATGAGAATGAAGTTCAAGGCATATTTTAACATATATAATGGGGCCCGCATTAAAACAAAGATAATCCCTCCTACTTCTTGGGTACGTTTGTTCGCACGCTTTTTTGTTATTGATATTTCAAATATTTTACTGTGAATGATTGAATTTTTTGCTTAAAAAAAGAATGCTCATTTAATGACCCATCCGTAGTACGCTCTACTTACATTGCTCTTCAAATGCAAAAATTACTAATTGCGAAATTGCTTTTTTTTCAAATTTTACTGAGGAATGGTATTTCTAGACCCTCTGACAAATAGCTCACACTTCAAAGGCCTTTTTGTGGTTTATGTTCCGCCAGTGTAAACTTTATAAACTATCCCTTGATGTCGTTGATTAATGGGCGCGATTTCTGTGCTCTAGTTAGTGAGTGTAAGTATAAGTGTTTGCACAAAAAATTCTCATCCTACATCTCTACATATATAAAATATTTTTTGATGACCGAGCAAAATCATAGGCATATGGCTTATGCGATAGGCAAGTAAGTTGTAATTCTACCGAATATCAAAATAAGTTTCTGAACCATATTTTTGCACATATTTAAATTTGTAAGCACCTTATAGCAAAGGCCATTAATAAAATGAAATTCTTTACACAATTAGGTCAAGCATTTAGTAGTCACTCAGACATTCAGTCAGTCAGTCAATCGGTCGGTCGGTCGGTCGGTCGGTCAGTCAGTCAGTCAGTCAGCTTACTTTCGAATGAACTTTTTGAAGTTTAACTTGCCTTCAGATTAATCCAGCAACATTTCCTTAACTGCATGTAAACGGGTTTTTTGACACACCCTGTTGTTGACTTTCATGGTGTTGCATAAATCAACTATTTTTTCAAAGTTTTGATTTCTGGGAGGAAAATATTGTATAATAGTCAAAGTAATTCCTTTGCTTTATTGATTCTTACGTTCTTGCTATCCTGTAATTTACAAAAATATGTCTGTCCAAAGGTAAAAAAGCTGCCAACAGATGGATACTACTTCCATTAAGAAAATATCCATTTGTTCTACTAACAAATGACAAAAAAGTTTGTGAACTTGAAACATAAAAATTCTGATTGTAGATATAAACATAATAATTCAACTGTCATAAAAATCGTCGATTTGAAAAGTGTCGTACAATTTTTATGTTGGTAAATTTTTCAACGTTCATTCATAAAGCTATTTAAAATGCTTTTTAGAAGTTCAAAGTCTACAATTTAAACGTTTTTTGAAGAAAACATAAGCATAAATCCTATAAGTTTTTAGTCTCATTGATTTATCAATTAAGATGTACTAATTGATTTACTTTTTGTTGTTACAGATCTTTCCTGGCAACGAAGATAGAAATACTGCAAGGAAAAACGCCTTCTCATCACCAGTCAAAGCTCGCCACATACGTATCTTACCAATAAAATTTAAAGATTTTCCAGACTTGAGGATTGAACATTATGGTTGCTCTGTGCAATAAATTTATTGGAAGGTTATTAAAATATACGTAAACTGATTGTTGTAGTGTCGATAATATCTAGACATTATATAAATATTTATTGTCAAAACCCACATAAAAGAATATAGCTACGAAAACATTTAAATGCACCTTGAATAAGCTTTGATTAAAACTTAGATAAAGATGTTACATACATTGTTATTCAGGGGGAGATCCAGTAATTTTCATAAGTTAGGCCTGTTTCATAGTCGCACTTTCCATGCGTCGAATGCATTAGACACAAAAGAAAATGAGATAAAATTCCTCATTATCATTTGTGTTGAATGTATTCGACGTAAAATGCGACGTATAAAACAGGCCTAAGTCATGAATTCATGACGTCACATGATGACATCATACTTAATACAATGTAATTATAACAATTCTTGGCTATATTAGTCTAGTAGTTCACATTTTGCATTTAAAAATAATGAAAATAAAGAACTGCTTTCATATCAGTATGTAATTTATCAAATAAGACCTATGCACTGTAAAATATTATATGACATACACAGCCCATAAAAATTGAAAAGAATCTCTTGATTATGGTGTAAGGGAATTATAATTAGAAATTTTATTATCAAGAAAAATTTCTTGACTTAGAAAGACTGAATCAAACTTAACAAAAAATAACATAAACCAAGAAGCCAAAATTTTGAGTGGAGTTCTTAATAATAATAGAGGAACAAAATAATATCTCTAAAAAGATAACAAAAAACGTAACTTTTACAAAAGAGTAAAACATTAAATATATTTTTATATACTTTTCAACTTCCAACTAAGATTTAACTTTAGCAAATTGGGCTAAAGGGTTATTTACACAAGTTTATAAATATTAACATGTGAGAATTTTTGTTGTTAAATTGAAGAAAGACCCACAATATTATGAAATGCCAATTACTATTATTCCTCATCATTGTTTAAAATAGCCTGCATGTTTAAAAAGCAATTTCAGCATTAAAATTGCAAAAGCCTATAATCATTTCAAGATGGAAAAAACTTTGTAAGTTTGAAAAAGCAGTAAGTATTACTAACAGCTAACGCAAATTATGGTTGATTAATATAAAATTAATATCAGTCAGAGAGATTAACTGATTCTCAATGCAATTTACTGTCAGCTTATTTTGTTTAGGATACAATACAAGCCGATTTCAAGGTTTATCGCTGTCAAAAAAATAGAGGAGTTTGTTACCTTACTCATATTTTTAGGATATAAAGATAATTAGGGCTTAAAGTTACTTTGATTAATCATAGTTGCTTACACCTTCCCCAAACTTCCCCCCAACAATTCAAGCAATGCAAAATAACAATAAGTAAATTCAAGAACTTCAACCACATAAAATGTTGTCAAGGCAAATATTTAATTTATCAAGGCAGTGGTAAAAATTGTTATGTTAATTTTAATCAAAGACTTGCTAACAAGCAACTATAATTGGTCTAAAGATAAGAGCAACAAAGTAACGTCACTCATGCAAGATCGAAAATGCTCATTAATTACATCGCAGACCCTACAGTTTATTTAGGTAATATAGACGAAATACGATAAGTTTCAACGAGTTTGTCAGTCATACGTATGCGTAATAAGCAAGCCCGTAAGTTTTTAACTGCTACCTAAATTTTAAAACATTAACATTAGAAATCAATTTTTCTCATTTACAGTAGTAAATGAGAAAAATTGCTTTCGAAGCCGTGGGTGTCTGGGTGTCCAAAACACCACAATTTTCGAAGCCTTCGAAGCTTTCGAAGCCGTGGGTGTCTGGGTGTCCAAACACCACAAACACACAGCTTTCGAAGCCGTGGGTGTCTGGGTGTCCAAACACCACAATTTTTGTAATGTTGGTGTACCTTAAAGGAAGGACACACAAGAATCTATCTTCTTATTTTGAATGTTTATGATAGGTGTACCAAATTTTCAAATATTGAACGTGCGCCGAGAGCAAGGAAATATTAAATGGTTTAAACATCGACGAAACGTGCAACTCATTTAAATGTATTACACCACTGTGAAAAACTCGGATAAACATGGCGGAAGTCATAACAATTACTAATTTGCTATATGAAATTGAAATATGTTTCGCTCTCTTGCAAAATAAATTTTAACATTTCTTTATTTCAAAATATAAGCGCTTAAATGGAAGAAACGTTACGTGAAGAGAAATTCAAAGCTATGAAACTGCCAGAATTAAAAAGTTACCTGCAGAGTAGAAGTATAACCGTAAGTGGTTATCTGAAGGCAGGACTAGTAGCCGTTGCATGTGCAGTGGAAAAAATGAAATTCCATTGATTTCGTTACTATTTTGAGTTTCTTTCCTTATGAGTGGCGAACATGGAACACCCACAACTTTTGAAAGCTTTCAAAGCCTTTGGCTAATGCACTGAATATTAATTGCGCTCTATATTGTAATGGTGCTGGCCTGTTATTACTTGCAAGGAAAAGTGACGGAAAAGATTTTCAGTTTTCTTTAAATTTTACAATTTTTACGTTGTGTTACTAATTTGATAACCGCTTGTTCCGCCCTTGTTGTTACTTGCTATCTTCACTTTCTGAACAATGCAATAGTAAGCAATACTTTTGATATAAATTGCATAAAACTAAGACGAACGTACAGCATTTTACTGTGGACAAATAAAGCATGTTACGATGATATATATGATACATATAATTATAACATAATATATTATATGATATGAGATGATAAGATAAGATTTTTAATTGGCTGCTCTTGTGTACGCACCTCAGATTTATTTTTATCTAGGAAATAAATAATGTATTTTTTGTGAGAACTTTGGGAGAAATCGAGAGCAGATCAGTGCAAGCCCAAGATCGAAGGTCGATGCATGCCCCTGATTGAGAGACTGCAAAACAGACAAATTTAAAATAAACGTTAACGCTTGCCGTTTTCTTTTATAAGATACTCATAATTGATTTTCACATACTCATTTATAATATGATTGATGTGATCGGTTCAGTTCAGATCGGTTTGCAGGCGAAAACAAACACAGCTATTGACCAATCACTGCACGCGTCTTGTTTTAATTTTGTAAGTACTGTTACGTGATATTCTTCCTTGTGTAATGCCTATTGATTTCTAACCAGTAGTATGAAGTTTTCTAACACTCTCCATAATCTAAGATCTCATTTTCAACATGGTGATGATTTATTTACTAATAATTTACTTAATTCTTTACTTTGTTTGGTTGATTGCAAGGCTGTTCATGCGTAAATATTAAAAAGTGCAATTGTCAATAATAATCCCTAATATCCCTGAAAGCACAAGTTTACTTGTAATAAAATTTTCTACAAAATAAAGCCTTTTAAAAGAGATTAAGTCTGCTGAAAACAATGTTTTGTAAAATGAATTATTCTAAAAGTTTTTTGCTAATTTCAAATGGAATTTTGCCAGTCAGGTCACAATATTTTGCTCGACAAATTTCTTCAAAATCTTTATAAGTGAGATAACGAGGATTTGGATTCTCGTCCATTATCGCTTTAATGATATACTCAGCGCATTCGTCTGTTGTTTGATGGCTGGATGATGGCATTTGTTTTCCAACGTTGCTGTAGACTTTTTGAATCAATGCCTTCGTTTCATCGTCGTTTGACAATTGGTCAGGATCAAGGAATGAATTTATTAACAGTGGTGTTAATACTGGGCCGGGTTCAACAGCTATCATTCTAAAACAAAAAACCCTTTGTCACTAAAATTTCGAGTATATGGTTCTAGATGTGGTTTATCCAGGTTTGTGTAAGCCTGGATAGGAGTGAACTGTTATTATTAAATCAGGCTTCGACATTCTTAGCGGTTATCATTTTTAGACTCAAATGACCGCTTTTGAAAAACCTATCAATACTAAAACCAAAATCCGTTTCAGGACAGCTCTATAACCAAGACAGGTCCAAAACTTGAGTTGAAACTTTCGGGGGTGGCGTGCTATTTTGCCCGACATAAAGGGCGTGGCCATAGAATTGCCCGATGAATCTTCAAAGCTTGAAAAGGTAATTTATTGGACATATATAGACAGAAAAAGTTTAATAAAAAATTATACAAGTGATGAAATGGAATATAAAAATAAAATAATACTCAATACTTGCTATTTTGTTTTGTACAGGAGTCAGTAAAAAGTTAATGCAATTTTTAGTTGCCTACTTTCATGATCATTCATCTTGTTAAATAAAGTTTTACGGCGCTATACCTCATATTTTCCTGTCACAATAATGATTCGTGACATCATGCATTTTTTATAAACACTTAAAATTACGATGAATGCCAGTTCAACTTAATTTTGAGTTTTTAGAAGTTTGGTTACGAGCCCATTTCCCAACAGCTTACAACGATTCCGATCGCTATAAAAATATGTATTCGCGTTAATGAATACAAACTATAAAATTGACTCAACTAAGTGCAGTAAATGCTTTCTGAATACTTTGTAAGGTACTTATAACTTTTAACTGCACTCCAAGGAAACAATGTGTTTTGTGGCTAAGAAACAATGTTTCATAAATGCTCACGAAAAAGTAGAGGGCAACAACGAGGCGTGGATTTAATGCCAAAACTCAAGAGCACAAGAGTTTATTGTCAAAACGTTCATTAAAGTAGTCACTTGTTGCTTTTTTAACAAGAAGATTTTATCTGCCACCACTGACACTAAATTTTGCAAGCATATCTTTACACTTTTGCTGGAACAATTAATTAGAAATACTATAAAACTTACGCCAAAAGTTTGCGCGTATGAGTCCATCATTCATTACAAATAAAAACAACTAACTATACGCTGATACAAAGTAGAGCCTAATTTACATGGCAAAAACTAATCTGGATTAGTTTGGGTTGAAACCGGGTTAGTTTATTTTGGGCGATCTGGATTTAGGATAAAATTTACACGGATAACAACACGGACTAATCAACAAGGACAATAATAAGAATACAATTTTACAAACTTTCCGGTTGAAAGAATTTAATGTCGCAAATTTGGTTGCTTTCGTTGAGCTTACGAAACATTTATTTCCCTCTGTGAATTAAAAACAAATTTTTACATATTATGTTGACACATCATGCAATCGCCAAATATTTCGTAGTACATTATCTACAATTCCTTACGATCAATACGAGTACAAAACCCTACCCCATTAAGTGTATAATTATGAAAATTATATCTTTACAATGGTGCCTTATGTTTTCTGTCGTGTAGTACATCATATAGTATTTTTATCAATTTTTCAAAAAATTACTCTACAAATTTTCAGAAAATTCATTTTAAAAAGTAGATTTCGAAATATATCTTTTTGATTTTTGAGAAGAAGAATTTTAAGATTTTTTTCGACCTTTTTAAAGTGCAACTCTGGTCAAGTTTCACCCATCTTTTTTTCGCCTAATGAAAAACATAGGCTCTAAGAAACATTTTGGTGTATGTTTGATTATTTTTTACTTAGTATAAGGCCTTGTTTACACTATACAGGATTGCTATCGTAGCAGATTGAATATTCTTTAAATTAAAAGGCAGTGAAATTGTTCAACGTTAGAAACACAATCAAATAGACTAAATCTATGAGCTTAATAAGCTTTTACTCCGAACGGTTAACCCTTTAAAGCAAATAAAGATGTCGTGATCGGCGACTGCGGTATAGTGTTAACGCAGCCTCAGTTTTTTGATTTTAACACTAAAAATCGCTCCCTGATGCGAAATTTTACAAATGGCTCTTGACATAATAAGATGTACACACCTCGCAAGTTTTTGTAATATTATGAACAAATGTCAGCATGGACCATCTTTATTGTTAAATTAGTGTCGAAAAACGGGTTTTATTCCACAAAACTTGGCGAAAGTATCAAAAAGATAACTATCAATACAAATATTGGTTAATAAATCATGGAAGGACACAATATTGTCATAAAGTTCATCGACGAAGTTTATTACTGATTTCGCTGACAGCCATTATGAATATAAATATTAATCAAACTTACTTCTGCCGGTCTTCTACTTAATGTTGGATACTGCGATTATTAAGACAAGTTTGAAAATTTGTAACACTTGACCAGCAAGCTTTCTGCAATAACGTCTCGACCAACGGTGTTGTTGTAACTTGTAATTGTCACAGAGTTGATTGCTGAGAATATAGTAACTATTAACCATATTCTGTATACAGACATTACTGAACTGGAGAATCAACTCTTTTGGGATAATATACAGGTGCAAAGTGTGGCGTCCCTCAAATCATTATGTACATTAATAGCTAAGGCAATATTACAAATGTCAAATTTTACAAGTCATAGGTATTAAATTACAGGAGTGAAAGTAGAAATTATATTACAAGTTAGGAGGCGGAAAAGGGGCTAAAAGCGCGTTCAGACTGAGTGCAGGAGTACGATACCCTGGTTCGGTAACAAATCAGCAGTCCGTTCACACTACGTAGTACCCACTAGCTTGGTTATTTATAACTTCATGGTTTTCATTGTAAACAAGTTTTAAAACCAATGTGATGAATACGTGCTTCTCTGCACACATTACTCAGGGGTTGTCGTTCTCATTCGTGCTGTGCCCGAGCACCGTACTCGGATTAGTATCCGATTTTCTTGGTGCCCGGACCCAGGCACTTTGACTCGTGAACCATCAAAATGTTGCGTTCACATTGGTGCCCATGCCTGAGCACCGTACCGGGGCTCTCAGTCTGAACGCGCTATTAGAGGCTGTAGTCCCCAACAAGTAAATGGGGGGGGCTTAGCCACTCCCCCAATCAAAGAGGGGCTTGACATAGATGTTTTCTTAGTTATCGACAGCCGTTTTGAAAGTTTGCTTCTCCTATAGACTTTCATTTACTTGAAGTACTGTGAGTTAAGGATAGGAAGAAAATCGTGCGAAATTTGTTATCAGAACATGGCGTAAATATGGCAATATGGCGCAGTCTAGAATAAATATATTTTTCACTAGTCTGAGACCGAAACAAAAAAAGTTCGACAGCTGCAACTACAAAAAGCAAAAATGCCACTCCTCTAACAAGACATTTTTTTGTTATTCAGCCACCCACCCACCCCCCCAAATCAAAACATCTTCCGCCGCCACTGGTTAAAATTGGACTTAAGACGTATTTGCTTGCTGAGATCTAGTTTGATGAAGTTGCTTAATATAAAGTATACAAGATAACAATAAAGATAAAATTGTGGTCCATACAAAATGTGTAACTAATATTCTGATGCTAAGAAATTATTGAAACTACATTGGCATATCTTCACTTTTATTGATACCCAACATTCAAATATCAAATGCAGTCATTATATTTCCGGCAGGATGTTTCCTGAACTTTATAAAGGTATTGCAGATGATTATATCAATTCATAGATCACTTGTAGTTCTTGTTCACTAACTGTTGTGTGTTATTAGCCTGATGGCTCACTCTAATAATTTTATAGCGATAACTTTTTCTCTTTTTCTTTCACCACGCTCATCTATTATCCAGGAATACAGTTCAATTTTACAACTGATAGAGACTTGCGAGGATAAATTAACTGTTTAATAAAAGTATAGAGGAGAGGTATGAATAAACAAAACACATCCACAAGTTCATATCTCAAGATAACCTTTCTACGTTTGACTGGGTTCTCTTAATTGCCTTGACTTCATAAGGAAATGCAGCCTTCCGCTGTTTTCAAATGACACATATTGAGTGATTAGGCAAGGATCCCATGTACATAAAGGAAAAAATCGTCAAAAAGCGAAAGGGTTCGAAGTTTTAAGCTGCCATTCCATTTCTCTGTTTATGAGCAAACTTTGGGTGCCTGCATATGCTTTAGGAAACTTTACATTGCGTATGACGAATATTAGTGTAAATCGATAAGTTAGGATCACCAGAAACACAATGATATGACGTCACAAGGCTCATCTCAAAAATTCACACCGGGAGTGCTAAGAATCGTTACTATGGGGAACTGTATAATCGGTTTGGAAAAATTAAATGAAATTCTGTTTTCAGTTTCGTGTTCAGCACATTGACGTCTATAAGATTGGCTTAGAAAAAGAGGGGGTCAAATTGGCCAGTGTAGCACTTTAACTAAACAATTGATTAACTAATAAATGATTATTAGCTCGATAGCTTTAAGAGTGGTGTGGTATGAGTAAAGTGGCGTGACTAATGAACGAATAAAAACAAATTTTGATGTATAAAATCGTGAATTTAAAAAGCACTGCGGATGACTTTTTATGTTATTTTTTCCAGCTTCTTTCTAGTATGATATTTTTCCGACAATTATTGCACTTTTTTTAAGGAAATGCCACCCAAGCTTCTCATAATTTCTAAAGACTCACCCTCAATTTTTGTATATATTCTTTTGCGAAAATAAATACTTCGTTGATAATGGCGAGGAGGGATCGTCGACAAAAATCACTGACAAGTTTTAGAAAATTGAGCAAGCTCAAACTTACTGTATATTGAAAGAGACAAGCTCGGCAGCCAACGAATCAGTAATTCCTTCCACAGCATATTTTGTTGAAGAATACACACTAACAAACGGCATTGCACATAATCCTAAAATTGAACTGATGTTTATAATACGACCTTTCTTATTCTTTTTCATTGACGGAACAACAGCTCGTATCATGCGCAGCACACCAAAGACGTTAGTATTGTATATGTTCTCGATGCTCTCCCAAGGATGAGATTCAATGGCAGATGGAAGGGTGGTGCCAGCATTGTTCACTAAAATGGACAAATTTCTTAAATTGTTTGACTACAAAAGTATTGTTGAATTTTTTTGTTAGGATAATACAAAGAAATACTGTTTGTGTTCGTTTTGAATGTTAGGTTGTCAAAACGTCAGTCACTACTAAGACTGGAATGGTCCTTCTTAGGACTCCAGTAACCTGGACAATCTTCTGCAAACAAGTGGCTATAGACAAAACTTGCAAATTATAAGCATTAAAACTAAATTATACATCACAAAATTTATATTTATAAAAATTGAAAAGTGCTCAAGGAGTCCGACATTCGGTTGTTTCTGGCAGCTTCCACTTACAACATTATTTTTTGATCAAACACACTCAAACTTTAGAAATATGAACTGTGCGGAAATATTGAAGAATGCCTGTAAAGTTTACAGATGCTTTTGAATAGGATAACTGTTTGCGTTGTTATGGCAAACATGTCTCATTTTCTTTAACGCTTTTATTCCCTAGTTTTGAAAGAATTGATCGTATCCTTTTTTTTTCGTTCAGTGAATTTTTCTGACTATAGTTATTCACTCAAGAAGCATTATGTTTAACATTGAAGGAATTCTATATATAATTTTCTGAGATGCTTGAAAATTTCGTCTACATGAAAATTTATTAGTAAATTTTGTTCTAATTCGCGTATGTTATATTTTTGTAGTAATAAACATCCACACGAACTTTTATCAAATTTTACCGAAGAAAAAACGAAAAAATCTTCAATAAAGTCGCCAGGCGTTTATATAAAAAAATCCACTCGACACAAGCACAATATGCGCATACGAATTGTCACTAGTCCCCTGCATAGAAACTGTAGGGAGCATTCTTAATTCTTTGGCCCGAAAACAAACATTGGCAGGTGATAATTCTCTTCAGGACAAGAAAAATTGCGCATTAATTTATTATTGTGTTTAACTTTGTCTTATATGAAAGGCTTTTAGAAAAAGGCGATTTTTGTTTGCAATGAAATAACTTCGTAAATATATTCCTGCAGGTAGAGCCAAAAGCCAATCATGTCACAGACCTCTATCCCTTGCAAATTTGCAATTTCCAATGCAACTCTTTAAACTTTTACTGTTACAATGAACAATCACATGTTCATTGTTAAGATTTTGTGACACAAACAATAATGTCTATTGTTATGTGATCACATTTAGGTGAAAATCGTTGAAAAACATTTATTTCTTTGTATTTCTTGTTTTAATGATATCACAGTATTGTGTGACATCATTTTTTTATTTTCTTTTATGTTCAGCAAATGAAATTACTCTTGAAAATATTTGATGCCAACTTTTAATAATAATTACTAGGGATGTTTGATATTCCAAGAAGTTGAATAGTCCAAAAAATGCTTATTAAAGGTAGCATTTCAAAGGAGCTTCATTCTTTTTATATTATTTGTCCAAGAAGCTGGTACATATTTGGTAGTGGTAGAGTTTTGGACAAAAAGCCAGAGAAAGCCTTTAAGGTATCTCTATTAATCTTAATCACGCAATGCTATAATTATATCAAAATAATTATCTACATAAAAAACAATGATTACTTTGTGTTACCTAAAATTACAAATTTTGATACAACTTTGTATTTTATTATAAATATCCAGTTGAGTTTTTGAACTTGTATTTCAGAATAATGGTTGTATTTTATTAATAGGTTATACTTTTCATTATAGAATTAAGAAATTCAAAACTGATCGACAATGATTAGTTCTTTCTTGATCACACAAACAGAATGAATGGAATAAAAGCCAAATTTTCATTTTTATGAACAAAAATAAAGCTTTGCAGAGTGGAAGAATTTCAATTAAATTATTTCTAGGATTTGTTATTAGTAAATATTTCACATTTTTTTCATCACTTCAAAATGATTGAATATCTAACAAACACATATGGTGTACCAAAATTTGTAACCAATTGCTAAATTAATAGACTGGTAACAACTAAGGAGTGTGCACATAATCGATAAATTAATTTATGATTAGGTATGGAAAAATCTACAAGAAGTTTTAGCTTTCTGGTAAGCAATCAGTAACTACAGCATAAGAATTCCTACATAAATCACAAATTACAACAAATATACAAATATGTTCAAAAATTGTCACACACGATGTAAAAATATATCATCTGGATCATTTACAAAAAAACGTAAAATAGTTTGTACTTAAAATTATTGCCTCCTACAAGGATGGCTCAATCAATATCATTTGTAGACATTTTTCTCATTATGAACAAATAATAGTTTGTGAAGATTAAAAGACAATGGCAATGGATTTTTTTTCATACGTTTATCATAGATAGCTATGGAATAGTTAATTTCGTGTTTTCGTGTCTCTTTTATTTTTGATGTCGAGAAAATTTGACATAAAGTTGAATCCGTATCCGCCATTTTTGAAAAAAAGCCTTATGCTAAATTATGCCGGAATACAGTACTGACGTCTTTGGCTGATATCAACTGAATGAAACAATATAAAATAATAGTTTTATAATAATATATAGCACATTTGTTCCCTGGAATTTTAAAACAAAAACAACAGTCGGCGGTTGTTAAGATTAACAAAAGTTGTGTAGTTTACCACGCGTATATACTTTTCCATTATTTAGTCGTTATAAGACGTAGAAATGTTTATTTTAGCAGATCTTACAACTAGGCTTTCGCGACATACCAAGTGTAAGCCCAGACAACAATAAGCGTGTTTTGTACACTGAACATTTCGTGCAATTCCTTCACTTCAGGTTCATATTGATAGGACAGAACCTCACCCGGTTGATTTTCGTGTATGTCATCCATTACAGCAAAAAACCGGTAAAATATGCTTTAAATGTGTTGTAACGCAGTCAATCACAAAGTATATAGTATTGTTGTTTTGACTGCTCACCAGCCAAGACCTCACTACCGCTCGAGATAATTTTATCAAAATTTTATCCAAGATGGCGAAATTTATAAAACTTTTGCTGCAAATATCTCAGCAACAAAATATTTTTGAAAAAAAATTTGCTATTTTAGTTGTTAGACATCACAAAGGTTTAAAAATATACCATAAAAATTTTCGTTGCCAATGTCCAATTGCAATCATAATTATATTAATTATGTTATTAACTACATATTAATTTTCGCTTTATGTTAAAGACTAAGCAGTCTAATACTGTCTTATTATTGTAATGTGTATTAAAAAATTAACAAATTGCTTAGTTGATTTGGTACTAAATAACTATAATGAGCAAGAATCACGAAAGTTACTCGTGATTTGACAAGGTATAATGTATCGTTAACGCACCTAATACGTCGATTTTGCCCTCCTTTTTCAATATCTGTGTTACAGCAGCGTTAACAGAATCTTCTGAACAGACATCCAGTTCGATTACAACAATATTGCTACATCCAGCAGTTTTCTCTAAAAACGCATCTTTCTTGCTCGTATTTCTCATTGATGCGTACACTTTAAATTTCGTACTAGTTTGTTTAGCAAGCAATTCAGCCGTCGATAACCCTACACCGGATGATGTTCCAGTAATGAGAACAATTTCTTTAGACATTTCAACGTTTTTGTGGTTTTGGCCTCAGGTTTTTCTACAACTACAAGAGTATTTAGGATGTGAGGTTGTACTTTGTAATGCCACTTTAAAAGTGGCCTGATTTCAATCAGCGTGAGGCCAAAGCTACAAATCAAATCTGACCAAACCCAGCAGATCTGCCAGGCCCATCAAATACACTTTTTCAGCCTGTATTCGTATTCTGTATGACATGCGGTGATTAGAGGCAGTTTCCATAGTTAACGTGAGCTTAATTGCTACTTTAAAATTGTTACTCCCCCCAAAACAATTCAAGCTGTAATGTATTAATATATATAATCCAATACGGACTACCAAAAATCCACAAAGAAAACAACCCGCTTCGCTGATCTTGTCTATTCCAAGACACCTATATATGAACTATCAAAATGTCTGTCTAATATTCTCCATCCAACAGTCAAAAATTCATCTCGCACCATCAAAACGCCACCACTTTCCTCGCCAACATTGACAACATCAAACTACGACCAGATAAAGCCCTAATATCCTACGTTGTAACATCACTCTTTACATCCATACCATTAGACATAGCAAAAAAAATAACAAACGAACTACTCAAAAATAATAAGTCTTGGCAGTCTATGACACAACTAAACAAAAATGACATCCTAGACTTACTCAACCTTCGCCTCTCCACTGAATTCTCCTACCAAAACTCATACTACAGACAAATTCCAGGCACACCAATGGGGTCACCACTATCCACCTTCAACTCAGAAGCTGTCATGCAGCACCTCGAAACACAAGGACAAACATAGGACAAACATTAAAGAAAATTGAAACAAGACTCACAGAACACAAAAACGCCATTAAACGGCGAGACCGAGCTAGCTAAAGGCAAAACATATTCACGTAAATAATCTTGCACGTATTCCACTGGACAGAAACTAAAGTAGTCGGACGCGCACAGAAAAAACACCCACGCGAATTCAAAGAATCTTGGTATAGTAAAGACGATGCAATAAACAGTCATATTGACATACCCATCATATATATGTCAATAGTAATATCAAATGGCAAAGGATTCATGAGATTATTCCCGAGTTTTAATGTCAGCGCTGTTCTGGTTATGTATATCAATAATTGAATCCTCGAGAAAAATTTCAGTTGGGTTTCAAATGCCTATATTGTTTGCTTATCTTTGTTAAACCTTAAATGAACAAACTCCTGCAAAGTCAAAAATAACGACCATGCATCATTGGATGTGGATAAGCATGAAACGTGTAACTGGAATACAAAGTGAGAAACAAACTGAAACGGCTACTGCAAAGAAGAAAAAAATGCAAGTTTCGGAAGTAAATATAAAACCAACAATCCGCCAGTGACGACAAAACGTGGACTAAAAAGAAGAAACCTTTTAAGAAAGGTTTTTTACTATTTTCAAATGGAATATTTCCAGTAAGGTCACGATACTTTGCCCGAGCAGTTTCTCGAAAGATTTTCAAAGTAATTAAGATAGCGAGGATAAGGATTTTCGTTCGTGATCGCTTTCATGATATACTCAGCGCATTCATCAGATGTTTGAGGGTTGGGAAAATGTTTTCGAAAATTACTCAAAAAAATTTCAACAAAAGCCTTCGTTTTATCATCTTGACAATTGATCTGGATCGAGGGATGTATTTTCTAATTTTGTAATACCAACGGAACAAAAGTTCGTATCATGTGCAACAACATGTATTCACTGAGCAATGTTATTGTTTCCAAGACCTGGATTAAGCATGGGATTAAGGGATCAATTGGCTAAAAATACTTATAATTCACTTGCGGGAGAAATACCCATAGCGAACCCGCACAGAATCAGCACGCCTAAAATTGTGCTGAATTTGGAAACTAAAATCTGTCTCTTGATTGGTTTATTGCCATTGTGCTGACTAACGAGCCGCCGTTTTTTCTGAAATGTTCAAGCGGTGTTGTGCGAAATTTCTATGGGGTGCCATATCCGCCAAAATTACACTAAATGTAATTATTCTTATTTTTAAACATTATATGTAGTAAATTAAATATTATTAACCTTCCTGTTTTCAATTATTCACTGCATTTTTTATTATTATTCAGCTTTATTTCAATTATGTAGCATATTTTCTATCATTATTCAGCCTTATTTCAATTATTCAGCACATTACTATCACTATTCAGCCTTATTTCAATTATTCAGCTTATTACTTATCATTGTTCAGCCTTATTTCAATTATTCAGCATATTACTTATCTTTATTCAGCCTTATTTCAATTATTCAGCCTTATTTCAATTATTCAGCATATATTTTTTATTATCCAGCATATTTTTATCATAATTCAGACTGGTCTGTTATTTGCAGCATATGTTTTACTATCCAGTGGTCTGGCACTATTACTTACGTTTGTTTTGGCTATGAAACTTACTTGCAATATCGATCGGTGAAGACTATTTAAATTAGTTCAACTTGCAGAGAGAACAGTTATTGTTATTGGGGCTCTAGCAAGATTTTGAGGTACCATTTGAAAAGATAAAAAAAAACGAGGGAAAAATTGGTTGAAATGATGGAAGTAGAAGGTGAAACACAAACACTGAGAGAAACGATTCGTTGTAGAATTTTAAAAGTAAGAGATCGTTTAAATCGGTGTGATATCAAATTGGAAATGCAAGACGTATTGGAAGTTGTCGATGAATTGATACAATACGTTGTTCTACTAGATTCATTTGAAAGGGTCTCTGAACAGGTTTTAAACTATTTAATCCAAGCTCGTAACGCGCTATCCAGGGAAAGTATCAGAGCCACTTTTGAATATGAGTCGTGCGATATTGCTAATGCTGGCAGTCCTTCACTGTGTATCGGAAAAGAGCAAATTGAATATCTTCTGAGTTGCAGTTTTACAGTCAATCAAATCAGCGAAATACTACATGTATCGAAGTGCACTATAGAACGTTGCATGAGTGCATATAACGTGACAGGAGTGAACAGATTTACAGAAATTGGCGATCAACAACTTGATAACAATGTTAACTGCGTTAAACAAATTGCGCCCGATTGCCGTTCAAAGCTTCTTTCCGGTTATCTGCGGCAATGAATATTTATGTCGTGTCCGAGAATCCCATACTCGTGTAGATTCCTTAGGTGTTCTTGCCAGGCAATGCAGGGCTGTCCATCGTATGTTGTATAATGTTGCTGAACCTCTTGCTTTAAGGCAAATAGAAGAAAACGATGAACTTGTCCGTTGGCGCTTTGTGGTTCATGGGTGTGTCGATGGATACAATCGTATCCCTTTTTTACAACGTGGTAATAATAACAGAGCGGCTACTCTTCATAGCCTGTTTAGGAAAGCTATTGACGATTGGGGTCTTCCATCACGTTTACGATGCGATAAAGGAGGAGAAAATGTTGATGTTGTGCTGTACATGTTAAAGCATCCTCAACGTCCCCCTGGACAAGGATCAGCGATTACTGGAAAAAGTGTGCATAACCAGAGAATATAGAGCGTCTTTGGCGCGATGTGTTTGAAAGCGTTTTAAAGTCCTTTTACAATTTGTTCTATTCAATGGAGGATCATAGGATTTTGAATTCTGGTGATGAAGCAGACATTTGGTCTCTTCACTTCGTCTTTATGAAGGAAATCAACTATTGTCTGTTTCGATGGCTTGAAGCTTTGTTCCAGCAGAACTTGAAGTTGAAGCATCAATAAAAAAGGTGCCAGAAAATATATTCTCTCTCAACGCAGAAGTGACAAATGAATTGAATACAATTTTAAGAGAAGTTATTGACACTAATGGTGATGTTATAGAGCAGTACCATGTGGTAAGAGATTATGTCAAACAACTGGATTCACGGTAACCTTCAATGAATTTCTCAGATCTATGATATGTCAAAAAATTAGAAATTGAACTTAGAATTTCTAAATCTTTATTTCTCATATTGATATGGTGTTAACAATACATCTCAATTAAGAAGGAAATAGACATGGACAGTGTGTTTATTCCAATTATAAGGTAAATGAAAGAATCTTTATTCATAAACGCATGTTTCTGAATTACTAAACAAAACAAAATTTATCATGAAAGTATGTGAGCAACTAGTAATATCTAATGTACAATCCACTTTAAATGTCAATGACAACCACCATAAAATGATAATCTATTTTCTTTTTCAATGAACAATGTAAACAAAAGGCGTTGCATTGAATAATGCAAATTGAATATCTGATATTGAGCAAAACGGTCAAATATCGATGATTTATGAGCAAGAATGTTAACTCATTCCAGTAATAAATATTTTAGAAAACCATCTGCAAAAACGCAGGAAATAGCGTTTTTCGCAATCCAATTTTAAAATTTTACAGGGGAACATGCTTCTGCCCCCCCCCCTAGAAAAGTCTTGCTAATGGTGCGACATTGTGCCTAAGTTCATATACGAAGCTGAATCCGCCCCTGAAGCGCAGGACGCGTAAGACAATGGTGTCGTAGATCTTCTCGACGTTATCCCAAGTCGGCACTTTAACAGCACAACGTCTGGAAGCACCAGCATTTAGTAAATTAATAAAATAATTTTTTATAGAAAAGTTATACCAGCATTACTCTACTGATTTTCAATTGAGAGCAAATAGCAAAGCAATATATAGGAAAGCAATAGATATCGAGTAGAGAATAGCTGCTGAACCTGTTACAATGAGAAATATCTTGCAATGTTAATTTACGCCCTCCAGAATTGTATTCAAACTAACTTAATACGTAAATCCCCCTTCCAAAATAATCGAGTTGAGCAAGCCAAGACAAATCGAGTGAGGTGAGTTTAACTACTTTATAGCAATAACAACCCGGTATAATTTATTTATACACAACTTCTCATGCCAGCTCATGTAGTGGCTGTAGTTTATTTGCTCTTAACTGCTCCAACACACTTGCTTATTTGCTCATAAATGCATTTTGGAACCTAAAAACATCACGTCACATTTTGCAGATTTAGTGGAAAAGTATTTAATCAGGGTTTCAACTTTCACCGACACAAAGAAGAGTAATGTTCACAAATGAATCTTAGAGAATTGTCTTAATCAGGATGAAACAGTCAAGAAGGAGATCTACAAATTAATCACAAC